GGCACTTACGTAATATTCTACAATCCACTTAACATATTCGCGTATAGATATGTGTATGGTGGATCAGGCCATGCTGCTAAATGTGTCAGCGACTAAGATCGGTCAGCAGACATGGTCCACTTACTGTCACATTTCGCTCACAGTACCCTGGACGTGGTTGAGTGACTTGGAGACTAAATGAGTCTTTGTTAGATAATTCAAAATATGCAGAGGAGATCCGTGACACGATCCTTCACTATTTTGCGGAAAATACTGCTGCTGTCACTTTGGTGACCTCTCAGTGGCTTGCCCATAAGGCGGTGTTGCAGGGTGTCATCAGTAAATTGGGTTCGATAGGTAAAAAGGGTGGTGCATATAGCTTATATATATATATATATATATATATATATTTATTGTTAAACATATATCTAGATAAACTGGCACTAAAGGACACGGAAAAACACCCGAGAGCTCTTAAAATGCACATACTACATACAGGAAAACAAGGCTAGAAAAAAAAAAAAAAAAGAGCAGAACCCAATACACTCTACTAAGAGGTGCATAGCAGGAAGAGCACAGTGGTGTGTATAGAGGAAAAAAACAAACCATAATATTTATTGAATCGACATATAGATAGCTCGACAAATATAAGGTAGCTCTAAAGTAAATAGAAAGGTATCGGATCAGAAGGGGAGTAAAAAGAAATACAGATAATACATCTGGTATATAAAGTGCCCACCCAATATCAACTGAACCTGGACAGGTAGATGTGCGTAGGCTGGGAGTAGCAATAATAAAAACCCCTTTACAACGACAAAATGAAATGGAGAGGGTATATAAGGAGTAAAAAGTAGATGTAGGAGGATCTCTACTAGACCCAAGGACCAGTCACCTTGCATTTATTTTATTTTTGATTTTTTGTTTTCACTTGGGTAGCACTATGTGCACTAAGTCTGTTTTGTGTTTTTTTTGTGGTAACCTCAGGGATGTTTCCATTCAGGTAGGCACTAACCTTGTGCGGTGCTGAGGTAAATAGGGCTTTTATAAATGTCACTACATGATATGTACTCTTCTGTTGATTTTGCTGAAATGCTCATGGGAATTTCTCAAAGTACTGATATATGTACTCTACGTATTTACATGACTTTTTATTTGAAAATCTACAAAAATAAAAACCAAGATATGAAAAAAAAAAAAAAAAAAAAAAGAAAAAGTATGGTTTATTATAACTTAGGTTTGCAAAGTTTCATCTGAACAAACCACAAAATTTCTGGAATGTCCTTTAAACAGGCAAAACCAAAGTGGAGATGTTTATAATCAATGATGCACAGCACCACATTTGGTAAAAACCAAACAACATATCAGCTCTAGCGGGAGGGACCAATCATTAGGGTGTGCAATGTCGCCCTAACTGCAATAAAGCCCTCCTTTTGTTGGATGGCATAGCACATCCTATTGTCGTTAAGGAGTTATTCAGGCACTAGTCCCTTCCTCTGCCACTCCCAGAAGCTCACTGCCTAAACCAACGGTGCATGGCTTTGCTTTTTGGCTGAGGGCAATCAGCTGATGCATTTAGCCAATTAGCTGGACAAGGAAAGGAAGGGACCAGACTCCAGAAAAGATGTTGTTGCAGATTGTCAATATAAATAAGGTTTCAAAAACTTTATATAGCAATTAAAACGTATCCAGTGCAATATTTTAATTTTATTTTTTTTACCAGGGGAGAATCAATTATTTTGGCTGAATAGATTTTTTTCTATTTAGATATTTCTTACTGTGTATTCACAAAATTTCCATACATATGAATGTAAATATTACAACCCCAAGAAACCATGTGTTTTTTGTGTAAAAATACAAGTTTTAGAATTTGAAGGCACAGTAACATGACAAAAATTGAGACAGAAATCCAATATATACTGACCAATGAATGTTTTCAACAATTTTTACATTTTTTTATTGTGATATTGATAATAAACCAAGATTACTTTTGTTTTGCAGGAAATTTATTTTATAATAAATATAAAAAATAAAGAGTATTGAAACACAGTAATTGTATCCCATAAAGGGTTTTGATATAGGCATGTATTACCATATAATATACTTTGGAAAAGTTGAAACCACACATTCTATAGATTAACAAGACTTTTCACAATAAAACACAGCACTGTAAACAGTTTTAGGCACAGAACTTCTGATTAGAATTGTTCTAAAGTATGTACGTTTTTCTTTTTAACAGTGAGATTATTACACCTCCTAAAAGATTAGTGATAGGCCCATCAGATAGAATCTCACTACATATTGAAACATATCTTCAATTGTGTATATATATATATATATATATATATATATATATATATATATATATATATATATATATATATATATATATATACACCCACAGTTGAAATAGAAAAATTACTGTTGAGCATCACCTGCATAACTCAAGGACTTTGGAAAAATCAGGTTTCTGATTCACGATTCAGAAATAGGACAAATACAATGTGAGAAAGTAACAAGAGAGAACACTGCAGCAGAGTCTAATTCTCCCACATTCAGATGCTTGTGGCTGTCAATTTGTCTTTCACTCAAATCAGCAGGTTACCTGTGACTGATTACCACCTTGAGCTGCTAAGTCCCTGAGTTGGACTTCTACTTCGCTTAGTAAGTAAATAGGAGGAATCCTGGGTTATCAATAAAAAGGACTTCCACATACACAGAAGGGCTAGCTCAACTTTTAGTGAATGTACCCTCTACCCCTAGCAAAACAATTTTTAGGATAGATAAAACTCCTAAATTTACATGCATATACATACTGAAAACAGCTGATGTTAATTGGAGAACTAAAATCTTCATAACCGCAGGCCTAGAAATGTTTCATTACATTAAACAAGTCATGTGTGTATAGCCAGGTTAATAGTATATTCACAGAATTATGGCGCCCCATATGGGTTGTAATGAAAAAACATTGTGCAGTCTTAATGTCTTGAATGTTTACATTGGCAAAAAATTACAATCTATGTGTAGTTTGGCTTCTAAGAATTCTTTTTTTTAAGTCTGTCTAATACGTAACCCGTATAGGTTCTAGAGATGGTCTGTAATGGTCTCCCATGACTTGCAGTTAACCAGTTCAGAACAGACACTCAGACACATTAAGCTCTTATCATTCTAAAAGGGACATGCTGATGGTCCCAAACTAGTTACATTTTCTCCCCACAATTTATATAACAGTGTCAAATTGTTTTGTTTCTATGTTGTTTGTAAAATGAATTATGAAATACCCAGAGTGGTTTTGTAATTTCCTTGGTTATCATTTAGATCTCAGGTGTTTTCTTTTTACGTGCTGTTTGTGGCAACTACATGGCCTTCTGCAGTGTGTTGCAGGGGACAGCTCAGATGCCCCTATTTACTTTTCACTAACCATCCGGGGGTAGGCTTACAGATATGTCCCTGCTTTTGTCTAGTCACATCTAATCACACAGTCAGTCTCTTTACTGGACTGCAGAATCCTCACACTTGGAAGCAGATAGAGATTTAGGTGTGGGGGGAGTGGGGGGGGGTGGTGTCTAAATAGATTTATTTAGTGAAGGCAAAAGAGTAGTTTTATGGGCTATAACTTTCCATACAATATGCTGCAGGTTATTGTTGTGGCATACCAGGTTTAATGACATTAAAGGCCACTGATGTATAAAGCAAAAGCATTGGGCCTTCACATTTCTTTTCATTATGATACATGTGATCTATGGCTTAAAGGGACACTATAGTCACCAGAACAACTACAGCTTATTGCATTTGTTCTGGTGAGTAGAATCATTCCCTTCAGGCTTTTTGCTATGAACACGGTCTTTTCAGAGAAAATGCAGTGTTTACATTACAGCCTAGTGATAACTTCACTGGCCACTCCTCAGATAGCTGTTACAGATCCTTCCTGGGCCATGGCCTAAAATGCACCCAAACATTCAGTATCTCCACCCTCTGTATGCAGACACTGAACTTTCCTCATAGAGTTCATTGATTCAATTCAACTCTATGAGGAGATGCTGATTGGCCAGGGCTGTGTTTGAATTGTGCTGGCTCTGCCCCTGATCTGCCTCTTTGTCAGTCTCAGCCAATCCTATGGGGAAGCATTGTGATTGGATCAGGCCACCACTTCTGATGTCAGAGGAATTTCACAGGCAGAGGCAGCAGCTTCAGACTTGAATACAAGTAAGATTTTACTATCTTTAGGGAGGCAAAGGGGGCTAGATAGTGGTTTTAACACTATAGGGACATGAACACATGTTTGTGTTCCCGACCCCATAGTGCTCCTTTAAGACAATCCCGTCACCCTCCCTTTAAAAACAAAAAAAAAAGTAATTACCATGTAGATCTCTTATAAAGAGTTCAGAATTCACTTCTGAGGAACTGAAGCAATCCATTCTCCATCACCAACTCTCAACACTATTTGATCATGAACAAAGATGTCACCATCGAAAAAATTGCACATAATAGCTTCTTTCTGTATTTTGAAATGTGTTGAAAAGTATTTCCTTCTAAATATGCTGATTATCCCAAGCTTATCATCTACTACATGGGTGCAGCCATCTTTAGGTTTTTGAGATGCCAGCATTTGCTCACGATAGTGCTCATTTACAAGTCCTGATGTCTCACTGTTACCTGCATGATCTGTGGTAAGAAAAGCAGTATTTTGAACTTAAGGATAAGTTAAGGTATGCACAAATATTAATTTAAAAAAAAAAAAAAAAAACACTACCATTTTCCTTTAAGCCTAACAGATACATTCCAAAATATGGGTGCATGTATGGATATTTAATAAGAAGTAAATACATGGCTTTAAAGGCTCCATAAAGTATCCAATAAGATTTGTGCAAAAATTAATTTGAGCAGGTTTGTCTGAATCACATTCCTTTTAATCCATACCTGAATTAATTGATCTCTCCAGGATTTACCAGTGAAGTCTTAATTGGATGAACATGCTCAAACTAATTTTTGAACAAGTCTAGTACCTAAAAGTATAGAAAATTCTGGAGAAGAGGAGACCTCCTAGAAAGCTTTTTCTAATTCATTCAGATAGTTAATGTGGGTTTTGACATAATATAGTGTAGTTATTTATGATCCAATTCTCAATGCAACCATTCAGGTTTTGTAGGTAAACATACTGGAGAAGAGTTGAGGATTATCTGAATCTTAGACTGTGGGTATGAATGGAGAACCGTATGAAGCGGAATGGTATAGGAAGAGCAAGGAGGATTTAATACACCGTGTATTAAAGACAATGAAGCTGGTAAAAACATAGAGATAGTACTGAAAGTCATGAAAGGCCTGGTCACCGGATTTCATCTTTGAGAAGAGCAGCCTGTGTTATAAATCTTTCCTCCCATAAATGCCACCACGTTTTTATGTTTGTGTATGCCCTCTCTTTTGTAGCAAAGCTGCATAGGAAATATTTTTATTTGAGGTTTTAATATAATATCAGTTTCATTTTGTGGTTCAAAAAAAAAAAAAAAAAAGGCCTGTAATCTCAGGCATGGTCTATGAAAAGTACATTCAGTTTGCTTACTAACCTACTAACTGGCAGGATTCAAACATTTCCAAATGACCCAAACATCTTTACTAAACATACACTAAATATGGGTCATGACAGTTTGTACAGTATTGAACAACATATAGATTTATTTTCCCATTCAAACACATAGTCTTGTCTACAAAACAAGACATCAAGACATAATAAATCTAGGAATGTTGCCACGTATCAACAGTCACAAATGATTAAACACAAACCCGTGCATAGGGAAATCTCATGCTCTGCGCTATATCAATGCAAGATCCCAGGGTACTTTCTTTTGTTCTTGGAGTGCTTGCTAATCAAAGCAAGACCAATTGTATATTAAATGTACAGGATATCAGCTAGAAAGCCAAGATGATTTTAAGAACAGGGCCAATATATAACAGAAAGATCACTGTCATCTTTACAAGCAAAGATTCCTGAAAAGGATAACATTTGATTAAAAATTCAGCACTGTATTGTGGACTAATGAATACCTAACCGGAATCAGGTTTTCTCCATGCATGCGTACAGAAACCTATGTTATGAAAACGTGTGTATGTGCGTGCTATACCATCATGTTCTCATAGGTTACATACTCTAATATTGTGAGAGTTCCCATTGTGAAATATAAGGATGGCTTGACTCAGCCACACAACGAAGGCTGTCTTGTCCACAAATGGATTTGGAAAATAAACAGATCATTTTAGAGAGAACAAAAAGTTCATGCAGGTATATTCAAAGTTATAGCATGATATGTGGGTAATAGATTTTTATCCCTGAACGTAAAACATAATTTTGAACGCTAGCTTGTTATTAACCATTTAAGATTTTTCTTGTGTTAATCCTTTCTTCTTAGTGCATTGAACATAGACAAACAGTAGTGTAACGGAAGACTAGTCATGCATGCTCTTTGCACCCCATCTCTTTAACCATACTGTATACTGGGATGTGTATATTTGTTTCTCTCTACGCAATAGTTAAGAGTAATTATGAGCCATCTCTTTATATACACAATTTAACCTTACCTACACATCTGGTAATAAAGCATTAAATATGGTATATAAAAAATATGTACAGCTCATTCCAGATTCTATCATCTGCTGCAAACAAAACAAAATGTATATTATGCAATCACCAGTTGCACCTGACATCTCCGATAAACATAATTGTTGCATTAAAGAGACATGCTTTACAAAATCAATTAAAATTACTTAAGAAAAAAACAAAACCTGAATATCTTATTTTCTGTATAGCAAAGCAGAAAACAACTGGGTAAACCACTAAGTAGGTAAACCATTTTACAGCAATGAGTAACCCAAAAAGTAATTAAAACGTCACTTTTAATATATTAATTAAAATACTCCTATAGAGTTCTGAAGTTCTATTAGACCATGTCCAAAAATGAAATAGCTCAAAGAAGCAATCAGTGTAACCCAAATTAATAAGAAAAAATATATATAAATACCGAAGACAAAAGAAAAAAATAAAAAGAAACAAATATGTACATAAAGGAGATAATTAATAATGCAAACGCTCCATACAGATTTGGATGTTACCAAACTCTAACAAGTTGTCAATGGTTGTCTGTCAGGGAGAGAATTTATCGTTTAACAGATAGGGGACAAAGCGGTAAGCAGTAAGTCATAAAATTCCCTACTCTGTTGTGCCTTCGAGGGCACCCCTTAACAAATGCTAAAACCCTCCTCCCTTCTCTTGTAATATATAGTTTGTCTATAAGTCCATCTCGTGGTGATAAGTGAGTATAGTGAAAAAGCGATCTCCCAAATAGATTCCCTATGCAGGTAAGTAGTTATAGGAAATCAAAAAAATAAATGAAATAAAATTAAATGAATAAATTAAAAGAGTAAAGCTGGTCAAGTCTGGTGCATCTTAAAGCATATCGTCCCATATCAGTGAGACCAGCATGATACTCTATGCAAGTCCCGATGCTCGTTTCGCAGTTAAGGCTCTTCCAGGATATTTTTCTTTTGTCTTAGGTATTTATATATAATTTTTCGTATTAATTTGGGTTACACTGATTGCTTTTTTTGAGCTATTTCATTTCTGGACATGGTCTAAGAGTATTTCAGAACATTAGGAATATAATCCTCTATGGGTTAATCTATAAGTTTAGGATTCTCTTTGTCCTACTATTTATCGTTATTTATTTTATTTTTTGAATGGGATATTCACTCTATAGGAGTATTTTAATGAATATATTAAAAGTGACGTTTTAATTACTTTTTGGGCAACTCATTGCTGTAAAAGGGTTTACCTACTTAGTGGTTTACCCAGGTGTTCTCTGCTTTGCCATATAATTAATTCTTGGGGGTTACCCTCCACCCCCTCTTTCCATAAGAGTAACCTGACACCTTTTCCCTAAAAAGGTCACTCAGTTTGTAGTTCTTATTTTCAGTAGAACAAAAAACTATATTTAAAATGGTGCATAATTGAAATAATGTTAATAGAGACCTTTCCTGACAACATCCAATGAAAACTGTTATTACAGTATCCAAAATGAAAAGAATTGTTAAGTATAAACCAGTCTTATAAAATACACTTCAAACAAACATATTCTGCAACCTACTTATTAAAGGGACACACCAAACACCATAACCATTTTGTAGTGGTTATGATACAAGGACTCTGACCATGACCTCTCAACATTTAAAACTGTTGTGTATTTTTTTTTTTTTTTTTACATTTTTTATATATACTCTAAAATGTTTGTTGCAAAATGTTTTAGAATTTGTAAAGAAAACTGGATAAAAGATGAGAAAGGGAGGAAACAAAAACAAACAAACAGTCACTCCATGGTACACAGCTGGTCGGTTTTACATAACAATGTTAGAGGAAAAACATTTACCGTGCTAATCAATACTGACCATATCTACAAATTCAAATAGAAAAAAAAAAAAATCATCAATGATTTGTAAAACCTTTCATTTCTGTACTACAGGGGTGTAAATCCAGTGTATATAAAGAAGCCAACATTATATTGAAGCTTCCAAAAAACCAAAAAAAACCTCCTGATCTCCAAGTAATAAACCAAGAGCCACATGAATTACAAGTTCGGTAAAATACCCTTATTCTTTGAATCATATGATTCATAGCAGCATCTCTTTAATTCATTGTACACTCTAACGTTTCTCCCTACGTTTAGCAAGTTCATAGACTCTGTTTTCTGCTTTTATTCTTCATGGGGTTTTAAGATATTGGGCATCATAATTAACGGACAGAAATAACTACTCTTCTCTTGCGATTTTAGGGGCAAGGTGAGAGCTTTACAATAATAATCATAATATGTTAAAATACTTTGGAAAATAGATGCATTACCTAGACACCAAATACTTAACTTTGTTTTCAAGATCCCGGATAAGTGAACTTCAGAACAGTTTTGAGAAATCTAGACCTAAAATTTAACATTTCTGTGATTGCTTATCCAATGGAATTGGAGTAAATTGCAATTTTCGACTAGCATATATTTCTCTTGGAATTTGCAGAAAATCTATTTTAGTTTAATGCTAAATATGACAGAAAAACCCCATAAACAAATTGCCCCCATCAATAAAATGAGATAGAAATAAAAGCAGATCAATATGTGAGAGAATTCAAGTCAAAGATAAATTGCAATGTAAACTATAGAGAAACAAATTCAATAACTGCTACCTGTGTAATATGGGTAAGACTTGGTTGGCCAAGCAAAATGAGCAAACTGTTCACATTATTTGTCCTTACAATGAAACAGGCTTTTGCCAACACCAACAATGAATAAAAATTGGCGCCACGGACACTGGTGTGCCGCTATATAGATACACCATGAAGAGCACAGCCTTATTTAGTGCTTGTCTTCATCTGGCTCCTGTGTTGATGGCGGAGAGAATGTAGAAAGCCACGAGGACATTGCAGACTTGGCGCTGATTAGAGCTCCTCCCACAGATTGGCCTATAAAGTACAGGAAACAGGAGACACCTTAGTACCAGATCACATCAGTTAGTTGTATTGAAAAACTAATGCAAATTGGAACATGAATAAAACACATTTTGATTCCCAGAGTTTCACAATTAAATCTCTTCCAAGTATTTGTGGGATGCTATCTAGAGAGCGAAAATGACTCCCTCCCCAAACACACACTGTCACATTGCAAGCAGAGGAGAGGTGAAGTTGTGAGTCTGCACTGCACTACTTATTCATTACCATGCAGATTCTACCATAGTAGCAGGTCCCCTCTGCCCTCACACACATGCTCAAGACCTATAAAGAATGTTAGCTGGCTGAAGTGCTACGTGTGACGAGTGTGCCCTCATAGTACAAAGAAACAAATGAAAAATTATGCAGTGCACACAGATTTAGTTGAGAATAGTGACTACCTCAATGTTACACATTCTATGGTGAAGGGAAGTCAGTTATTACTTAGTATGTGTGCTGAACTATATTTGCTGTTGATATTTGGGAAGAACACACTAACTTTTTTGG